AGACCAGAACTGGGACTGTGCCTACTGACTTCACTTTCGGACAGGCACAACTCTAAACGAACAGACACATTTACTACTTGAACAGGCACTTTCCATTGCACGAACAGGTACACTGCCTGCACGTACAGACACACCCTTACTCGAACAGACATGACATACATATCTCATGGTGAACAGGTAAGTCTTTTGACAATGCCCTTTGTCTTAGATTTAGATGTGCCTGTTGATAGAGAACTTGACCTTTGACATGCTTTCACGTTTCCGAGCCCTGGCGAGATACCGTTTCACAATGCTTTACAAGGCCTGAGGCCTATATCGGGTAAAGGCCCTTTTGCTCTCGCAGGCCTAAATTCGAAGTCCTCTGAGAATCACTTACCTATCAAGGATATGAATTCCTCTCTTTGCACTTTCGTATGCAGACACAATATGAGGTGCAGAATCTAACAGTTCCTCTCTTGTAAACCAGCGATCTTCACTAGGATCTTGATATGCAAACCTTACTTTATACTGTCGTTGTGGTCTGCCTCTACATCCAGTGTGGTAAGTACTTTCCGCAACAATTTTATCCACGTCATACTTCCCATCCATACTTGGAGGTATCGTTGATCGGCGACTTGGGAAGAGCTCATTCGTTACACAAGGTAAGAGCTTGGATGCATGGAACACTGGATACGTACGTAGACGAGGAGGAATCTCAATGACATACGAAGGACCATCCACATCTCCAATTACGTCTAGAACCTGCCAAGGTCCTCGGTAGGTGGGTAGAAGCTTTTGAGAGATGTTCTCTTCAGGAGCAAACTCTTTAGACTTCACCCAAACCAAGTCTCCCACAACAAATTGAGACGGGCGTCTATGCTTATTTGCCTGTTCAATCATCTGATGTTGTGCTTTGAGTATATTTTCTTTTACTTTCTCAAAGTCTTTCTGATATTGGACTGCAAACTCACTAGTCCCTACAGGAAGCTTATGTACTTGAACCGGGTTCAAGCGATCAATGGGTCTGCGTGGACGCCATCCCAGATGTAACTCCATAGGAGTCTTACACGTAGATAGGTGCACAGAGTTATTATAGGCACTAGCAACCTTAGGCAGATGTTCATCCCAATCAATCTGATCGGGACGAATGTACATGCACAGAGTTTGCTGCAATATCTTGTTCATCTGCTCAGTTTGGCCATTAGTTTCAGGATGTCTGCCTGATGACATAGTCAACTTAGAGCCATATACATTCATCAGCTGCTGCCATTGTTCACTTGTGAACCTGGTATCTTTGTCACTCACAATAGTTAAGGGATGTCCAAAGTCCTTTACCCAATGGGTAAAGAATTCCCGAATTACCAATTCAGTCTTTGCTTCCGCAGGCAAAGCTACAAAAACAGCACACTTCGTGAATCTATCCACTATGATCATTACTTGCATTTTCCCATTTCTGCTCTTCACCTTTATATCCATGAAATCTATAGAGACAGAGTCTCCAAGGCCGGTAGGGATAGGCAAGGGCTTGAGTAGCCCAAGGGGCGATTGCATGGTGCTTTTGTTCCGTTGGCACACTTGGCAACCTTGCACATACGCGATAGTCCGCTTTCATTCGAGGCCAGGTGTAGGAACGCAATAAAGTCCCATAGGTCTTTTTCCACCCGAAATGGCCTTCTGCATCATGGCATTCCCCCAAAATCATACTCTTGATTTCTTCATTATTGGGTATACACTGCCTATCATGTACATCAGTTCGTTCAAACAATAGACCCTGAGTTACTTTATGATCGGTAAACTCTGCTGGCTTTTTTTGCACTAGCTTAATCATGGCTCCATAAACTGAATCAAAGGGATACGCATTTCTAATATTTTCTTGTAGGTTTGTACCTACATCTAGACAAGTCACGATAGCACCGAAAAAGTCTGATCTACGACCTAGTGCATCAGCAACAACGTTATACTTACCCTTGACTGGCTTCAACTCAAAGTCAAACATATCAATTTCTGCAGCCCACCTTGTCAACTTAGGTGTCATGCGAGCTTGTATTTTAAGCCAGCGAAGTGTTTCATGGTCAGAGTATACTTTAAAATGCCTTCCTAGAAGGTAGTGTATCCAATGATTGAGAGCCTCACGCAAAGCGTACAACTCTCGTTCATACGTTGAAGCGGCCACCTTCTCGTTAGGTAAGCGACAAGACAAACTCTACAGGTCTGTATCCATGCCCATCATCTTGTTGGAGTACARCACCTATACCATATTGACTAGCGTCGGTCGTGACCACGAAAGGCAAGGAAGGGTCCACTACTTTCAAAACCGGGTAGTTGGTCAAACACTTTTTCAAACGCTTGAATGACATAGTGAAGTTTGAATCCCACTTCCAAATTACTTCTTTCTTAAGCAATCGGCGAAGGGGAGCAGCTATTATCGTAAAGTGTCTTACGAACTTTCGATAGTAGTTGGCTAACCCAAGGAACGACCTCAATTCAGTCAAGGTGCGGGGGTTTGGCCAATCTCTGATTGCTGATATCTTTGCATCTTCCGGTTTGACCCCATCTCCATCAATCACATGTCCTAGGTATAGCACCTGACGCTTAGCCCACTCACACTTCTTTGGGTTTAACTTGAGTTTTGCTTCTCTCAATTTGTTTAGCACAAGTCGAAGGTGCTCAACATGCTCCTTATCATTTTTGCTGAAAATCAAAATATCGTCTAAATAAATCACAACAAATTTATTGAGCCACTCACGAAATAGTTCGTTCATTGTTCTTTGGAAAGTGGCAGGGGCATTTGTGAGACCAAAGGGCAGAACTACGAATTCGTAATGCCCATACCTCGTCCTGAAGGCAGTCTTATGTTGGTCTTCCGGCTCAACCTCAATCTGATGATAGCCGGATTTTAGATCAATCTTTGAGAACACTTTGCTTCCCTGCACGCGATCCAGCAAATCGTCGATTCGCGGTAATGGTTCGACATTTTTCATTGTTATGTC